GTGGCCCAGACCTGAGCCAACAGGTTGGAACTCAAACTAAGTCCCCCACGGGATGGCAGGAACCTGCAGACCTGGACCACTACTTGGTACCCACTAAGGTGCACAGCAACAGGAAATTGTAAAGCAAGTGGAGCCAGGACTCCACCGTGCCCAATGCTGGCCTCAGGCCTCTTTGTGTGTTGTGTGGAGAGTGTGTGTGTGTGCTATCCCATTGTCCTTTGCAGAGGGCTAGTAACCTGTGGAGTCTTCCTAAAACTGGGAAGATTGGTTGAATATATGATAATTTAAAGAGAAAAATGATTTCGTTAAAGATACACCGATTGGCCTAGTCATCACAAGCTATGTAAACGTATTGTCAAGTGCCCTAATAACTAGACTAAGTATTGATGTGATTTTTACAATGAATTTGGAAGGAAATCCAGGGAGAGCCAGCCAGGGCGAGGAGAGGGGTTGACTGCTTACACAACGGCTCATGCAGCCAGCAAACTCTCCCACGCCAACACTGAGACTGGTTCCTGAGAACCAAGATGGGGCAGAGCAAGACTCAAGTCTTCTATTTCTTCCTGAAAGATGCAATGAGATCACCACATAGTCTGGAGCAAAAAAAAAAATCCAATTTTCAGAAATCACTTCATGTGTTCGAACCCAGGAGATGATTTTCTGGAACCTACTGGTACGAGTGGGCATTGGGCACAGCAGTGAAGGCATTGCTTAGGATCCCCGCATCCCATGTCAGAGCGCGTTGGTTCAAGCCCAGCTCTGCTTCTGGCCTCTTGTGAATGCACACCATGGAAGAGGGCAGGTACTGGCTCAAGCCCTTGGGTCCCTTGCGCCCTGTGGTGGGTGGGGTCCTGAGTGGGGTCCTGAGCGGGGTCCCGCGTCTCTTGGCGTCATCGGGTCCGGCCCTGATGGTTTCAGGCATCTGAGGAGTCAACCGACACGTCAGAGCTCTGCTACTCTGTCTCTTCTTAATCCCTGCCATGCAAATAAATAGGAATGAATAAATAAAAATCTCTAAAAACTTGAAGATTTCAACTGAGGGGAAGGAAGAAATGGGTGCAAACCCTATTCTTTTTATAGCGCTCAAGTGTGAGGATGTTAATTAAAGGAGTCTCAGAGCAGAGCTGAGAAAGGAAGAAGCAAGAATTTAATTTGGGATGTGGCTTCATCAGGTTAAAAAAAAAAAAAAGGAAATAGCTTGCAGAGTTTCTTGCCGCTGCTCTCCAGAATCTCATGGGCCCCTAAGAAGCTCTGGGTGAGCTGTCAAGCGCACAGGCCAGTTTCGTGAAAAGCCCCAATCCAGGATAGGAGCTGCTGCAGCGAAGAGCTTGGGAAGTCTAGGGGTGTTAAAGCTCTTTCAAATGTGTTCTTGAAGGAGCACACCCATTTTCCAAAATGGAAACTTTTAACAAAGCAAATAAAGACACTGACAAAACACTGCCCTTGCTCGCTGCTGGTCTGTGCACTTCTGAATGCACGGAGTGAGCACGCACTGCTGCCTCTTCTTCCTGGCAAGCAGCAGCCCAGCTCACAGCCGCTGTCAGTGCTCTTTCTGGGGGCTCTTGTGTGCTGTTATGCACAAGGTCTCTAAGGTCTTAGTTGCTCTAATTGACAAGTACAGGAACAGAGTCTCAGAAGAGCTAAGCGAATTTCCCATCAGCGCCAATGACGCATGAGCAGAAGAGCTAAGCGTTGAACTCTGCTCTATCTTTTGTTCACATTGTACCATTGTGCAGCAATATGCGAAAGCACAAAGTGTGTATAGAACATATCCAAGGGAATGCAGCCAGACCAGCTAAAGACTGGCCAACACAGTCCTCACTCTTGTGCTCTGTTCTCATTCCGCTGCTGGATTCCCAAGACAGCGCGTGATCTTGAGCAGATCATGCCCACCGTAGACACATCTTTGGATTGCAGGCTGCAAAGACTCCATGCCAGCCACCAAAAGCAAGGGGAGTTTCAATGGGGCACATAAGACTCCTAGACTCTGTGGGAAGGCTGGAAGGTAGACAGAAAGTGGGCGGCTCCAGGAGACTGGGCAGTTGGAATGAAACCATCTGTTACCAGAACAGATTGGCCAGCAGTCTCTGGTTATCTCGGTGTGGATCAGAGAGTATTCAATTGGGGAAGAGACAACATCCCTGAAGAAAACATGTCCTGGTGCTGGGCTGCTGGGCAATACACCTGTTAGGGCACCACTGGGCTGCTGGGCTACACACCTGTTAGGGCACCAAGGGCTGCTGGGCTACACACCTGTTAGGGCACCACTGGGCTGCTGGGCTACACACCTGTTAGGGCACCACTGGGCTGCTGGGCTACACACCTGTTAGGGCACCAAGGGCTGCTGGGCTACACACCTGTTAGGGCACCATAAGTTGCAGCATGCGTTCTCAGGTTGTGCAAAGCGCAGCACTAATGAACGAACTTCACGCAGGCCTCCTCCCCCCTGCATCTCTTAGGCACCATGTACCTGAAAGGCAGAGAGCTGCCATCCTCTGGTTCACTCCCCAGAATGGTTGTCACGGCTAGGGCTGGGCCAAGGTTGAAGCTGAGAGTCAGGAATTCAACCTAGGGCTCCCCTCTGGGTGACAGGAAGCCAGGTGGCTGAGCCATCGCTGCTGCATTCCAGCGTCTGCTTTGGCAGGAAGCTGAAATCAGGCACAAGAGCCGGGAAATGAACGCTGGTCCTCTGGTATGGAAGATGGGCCTGGGCCACCCTCAGACTGAACACCTGCTGTAGATACCCCTCTTGTTTAGCTAGCCATCACATCTCCCTGCTTGTGCTTGAAGATCCCTAAAGACAGATTCCAGCACCGTGACAGCTCTGCTCCCAGTGCTGCAATGGGAGGCTGCTGTTGTGTTGCATGGCTTTGTTGCCTGTCTACATGTCAATGACTCCAATATCCATAGTCCCACCCCCTACCTCCTAAAGTGCTTTCAAGAACCCAGAACTAGGAGTTCGGTGTTATGGAATAGCATGTTGATCTGCTTCTTCTATCTTGTGCGAGTGTCCATTAGCGTCTCCGTGGCTCCCCTTAAATGCTGCCTCCCTGTTAATGCACCAGGGAAGGTATCAGAAGGCTGCCCCAGTGTTTGGGTCCCTAGAGGCTGTGTAGAGTTCCAACTTAGCCAACCTCGGCCATTGCGGCCAACTTGGGAGTGGATCAGTTATTGGGAGATCTCTCTCTGTAACTCTGCTTTTCAAATGAATAAATATTTTTTAAGAAATATAAAGGATCCCAGGGTGATATCCTAGTGGTTAAATCTCCCCCTTGCATGTGCCAGGATCCCATAAGAACTCCAGTTATTGTTCCAGCTGTTCCATTTCCCTTCCAGCTCCCTGCTTGTGGCCTAGGAAAGCAGTCAAGGCTGGCCTAGTGCATCAGGACCCTGCACCCACATGGGCAATCCAGAGGGAATTCTTGGCTCCTGGCTTCAGATTGGCTCAGTTCAGCTCAGTTCCAGCCGTAGTGGCCACTTAGGGAGTGAAACAGTTGATGGAAGATCTTTCTCTGTGTCTCCTCCCTATAAATCTGTCTTTCCAATTTAAAAAAACCTTTAAAAAAGAAAAACAAATCTAGAAATAGAACTCTCTAATCCACACACACACCCCCAAGCTTCAAGCCCAGACCTCAACATATCTTCTCAAATTCTCGTTCCAAGCCAAGCTCACCCCTGGATTGTACCTCCCAGCTCTGCCATGCCTTCAGCAGCATTTGTCCACCTTCCTTGCACCACTCTCCACCAACCCCCACTGACCCCAGCCACTGCAGGGCCTCTGCTCTTCGCCTCACCAACCCATTCTCCACACAGCAGAACATCTCTGCAACAGGAGCCATTGTTACCGGGCTTAACGCCTTTGCCACTACCACTGCCTGTGCCACGCAATGCCAGCTTGCAACCATGGCTCCAGGGTCCTGAGACTTCAGCTTCTCCCCGTCTCTCCCAAGTCCTCTGCCCAAAGCCCTCTAGCTCGCTGTCCTTCATCTCCCCCACCTCTCTTTCACACCAAGGCTGTTCTCGCTCTGTTGCCCTGAAGCTCCCTTCTCCCAACTCTTCCAGTAGCTGTCTCCGCTGTTCCTTTAGCTCAGCTCTCCTCTCTTTAAGAGGCGCCTCCCAGAGCTGCAGCCCCTCCTCAGCTCCTGGGGAGAGTGTGTGTTGATGGAGTGCTTCCCAGATGTGGTTAGTCATGCGTGCCTCTTCAATTAAAAAATAAAAGATTTATTTTTATTAGAAAGTCAGATTTATGAAGAAGAAAAATGTAAAGAAAGATCTTCCATCCATTGGTTCACTTCCCAAATGGTTGCAACAGCTGGAGCTGAGCCAATCCAGAGCCAGGAGCCAGGAGCTTCCTCCAGGTCTCCCATACAGATGCAGGATCTCAAGGCTTTGGACCATGCTTCACTGTTTTTCCAGACCATAAGCAGGGAGCTGGATGGGAAGTGGAACAGCTGGGACACAAGCCCATACAGGATGAAAGTGCTTGGAGGTGGAGGATTAGCAGTTGAGTCATCACATTGGGCCCTTCTAATTTCTAACAAGATTGTGGGGTGTTCCTGGCATTGTTATACTCCTCTCAAAAGCGAGTCAGATAATCACAAGAAGTAGATTTAACCCTGTGTCTTCAGCTTCAGTCTGGCCTCGTAACCAGCACGGCACCTGCCTCTCTCATGACGCCTGTGTGTCTCTTCCTAGCGCTGTTAGAGTCTAGACATTGAATTATTCCTTGTACTATCAGCCTCCTCCTTAGACTACAAGCAAGCTGGGATCAGAGCTCTGTCCATCACTGGATCTCCAGCGCAGCCACGTACAAATGTTCACCCAACACTGGAGAACACAAATAAACAAGAACCATGGTGGATTTGGGGATGGGAAACGGAAGCACCGATACCATGGCTCCCTGGTTTTCACAACAACCTGTGTGGCCATGGGTGATATGAGCAAATCTTTTTATTTACCTGATTGGCTAACACTGCGTATGTTTCTCTTTTTTTTTGCAGAACAGATTTACTATGCTGGTCCCATCAATAATTCTGAATTTGACATTCCCCAGGTAAAGTTTGGGTTTTCTGCTTTGGTTTGCCATCTGATTGCGGTGCTGAACAGTTTGTTTTTCTTGGAAAGAATGAAGGGATGACCAGCAGGGGAAGAAGAGGAAAAAGAGAAAACAGAAGTTTAAAATCGGGGAGGCTGGCCCTTGAGTGCTGGGAGGCGCTGCTGGGGCCCCCACGTCTCACGCCCTGGTGCTTGGGTCCAAGGCCCAGCTCTGCTCCGGAGTCTGGCTTCTGACTGATGCACATCCCTGGGAGGCGGCAGGATGGCTCAAGTCGTTGTGTCCTTGTCACCTGTTTGGATGACCTGGGTGGAGTTAACTCCTGGCTCAGCCCTTGGCCAGCCCTGACAGTTAAGGGCCAGGCAAATGGAGTAAATGCTTCCTAAAGCAGTTACCCAGCAGGAGGTATTTAGAAACGCTTGGCTCAGTGGCCTGGTCCCACATAGAGGATGCTGGTGTCTGCAAGGCTCAGGGGCTGCAGCTTCTTGGGGCCTGGGGCTGCTCCTTGCACACTGTGGCCATGTGCTGACGAGGCCAGCAACAGGTGGCCACCAAGTTCAGAAACACTCACCAATGAGGTTACAATTCCCTTACCTATTCCTCTGCACTCAAAGTTAGGCAACTTCGCGAGGCCAGGCTGCTAGGACATAGCAATAACGTTGGAATAGACTGCACCTGGCAGAGTCATAGGGCGTTACAGGAGAAGGGTCACAACCTCCACCACGGGACACTTTTGTCTTCCTTTCCAATCCATCCTTTCAATGCTACCAAACCTGGCTCTGACGCAGAAACAATCTTCTGGGGTCGCTTTAGCCCAGCCTCTGGGTTCATTTTTTGTTGCTGTTTGTTTTTCATTATTTACTTAATTTCATTTTTTTGAAAGAGAGAAAAAAACAGAGATGCACAGAGAGAAAGAGAACTCACTATTCACTCCCTGGATGAATACTACCACAGCCAGGCTGGGCCGAGCTGAAGCCAGCGTCCCGGAACTCAGTCCAGGTGTCCATGTGGATGGCAGGAACCCAAGCATTAGAGCTATTCGTGTTGCCTCCAGGGTGTGCAGTGGCAGGAAGCTGGGCCCAGGCATCCCAGTGCAGGCTCTGACTGTCCCATGCACTGCTGGGCCCAGGCATCCCAGTGCAGGCTCTGACTGTCCCATGTACTGCTGGGCCCCGTCCTCCTAGCACCTGCTCCCATACCAGCTGGGGCCACAGCCCGTTGTCCACCTGCTAGCCCCCATCCTCCTAGCACTGCTCCCATACCAGCTGGAGCCACAGCCCGTTGGCCGCCCGTTGGCTCCCGTCCTCCTAGCACCTGCTCCCGTACCAGCTGGGGGCCACATATCCATCCTTTTTGCACACTTCTTGCTTGCATTCTCTTTCAGTTCATAATCTAAGACCCATCCCTGAACATATTGTATCTGGTGTCAGATCTAGAGAGCAATACTGAAAAATTCAATTGGTTTTAATCGTTTTGTGGGGTGTCTGCTTCGATAGAAACAGAGTTCAAAATAGATTATGAGGATGGAGGAGGCGGAGGAGGGAAATGAGAGGGTGGAGGAGGAATACAATCCGGGTCGATCTGAGCTGGTCTTGCTCTCGCTTTTAGACCATCCTGCTTTAGTTCTTAACACTGCACTTAAAACTGCAGCTGCTTGGCAGTTGCACAGTTAGACTCGTGGGAGCCTAAGGAATCCTCAAGTTGAATGACACCTTAGGATTGCTCCAATCAATGCTCCCCCGAAGGCATCTTCCAGAGCTGAGCCTGGCTCGCTCTCAAGCACAGTTGTAAGTGTTGGGGAATCTACTCCCTGCTGAACCTCAGCTAATCCCTGGGAAGCTGTTCCCTTCAAAGCTGTTCCCTTCAAGGATCTGGCCTCCTCTCTCTACAGCCCCTACGGTTTCCTTACTGCCTTTCCTCCAAATGTGGGGGGACTGCCACGTCTTCCCCATAGCTTCCTGCCCTCCTCACCTTCCCACAAACACACCTCTGTCAGATCTTTGTCTCAGAAATCCTCGACTCCTCTACTTAAGCCAGCACTCGCCCAACCCACCCAGTGCACTCAGCTGCCCTCTTCCTGTTTGCCATCTGATGCCCATCCGGGTCAGTTGTCACATGGATCAGCCAAGCCGGCCAGGCAGGGTGCCGCTGTGCCTTGTTCAATCCCTCTTCAAACCTTGTCCTGCACGCGGGAAGAGCTGGCTCCATGCAGTTCCCTCCCAATCCTTACGGAATAAATTCCAGGACCCCTGTAGATACCATAACCCAACAGGAAGGGTTAGTGTTTGCATAGAATCTTTGCACATATTCCCATATGCTTTACGTCATTTCTAAAAAGCTTATCACGCAGAATACAGTGCCATGCCACTTGAGTCATTATTTTACTGCATTGTGCAACAGCAACAAGTCTCTATATGTTTGGTACAAATGCATTCTAAGCATTCTTCCAGGCCTTGTGCACTGGCATAAGCAAGTGAAGCCTCTGGCTGTGGTGCAGCATCCAACGCAGGTGTCAGTTCCAGTCCTGGCAGCTTCACTTCCTGTCCAGCGCCCTGCTAACGGCATGGGAAAGCGGCAGAGGATGGCCCAGAGAAGCTCCTGGCTCAGGGCTTCAGACCAGCCAGCCTTGGTTGTTGCAACCATTTGTGGAGTGAACCAGTAGATGGGAGACTGTCTCGCTCTTCCGCTCCTTCTGTAACTGCACCTTTCAAATAAAAAATAGTACATTTAAAAACATATACATATAATTTTTATATATATATCATCAATCACATGCTGATGATTGAAGCCACGGGTATGGAGGGCTGCCTGCTTGTTAAAGCAGCATCCTTAACACATTCTCTGTGTCTCCTACAGGGAAAGTACGAGATTTTGCTGGAACTGTACAATGAACACCGCTCTATCGTGGCCTGCGCCAATGCTACTGTCCTCTGCTCCTGACTGACCTGTGCTACAAGTCCCACCTCTTTGGAACTCCCGGTTCCCTGGACTGAGCCTGCCGTGGAAGAACTAGACAACAATGGAATCTCTAGAAGAAAATGCCCCACACCCCCTGGAAAGTGCAGCTGCAACCTCCAGCCCGGGGTTAAATGTCTGCAAACTTTCCAGGTGTCATGAAGCCCCTGAAACTATGTGCTCCATATGAGCCCCTTGGTAGCCCCTGAGGGAGGAAGGGAGAGAGAGAGAGAGAGAGAGAGAGAGAACTGACCCTTGATGGGGCTGAACACCCAGGAACACAGCAGTCTCACCAGGGATGTGAACTGGGAGAAAATGAGCGTTCTTTGTCCTCCAATCAGGTCTTCCCTTTGCCCCCGTCATACACCTCCAACTCTGCCCTTGTACTCCCAAAAGTTGACAAAGTTTTGCTGGTTCAGAAATCGCTGGCAGAAGCACCAGCATCCCTGTCACTGGTTGGCACCCTGGCAGAGCATGAGAACTAAAATCAGGTCTAGAACTGGAGGCCAGGGGCCAGCAGGTATTGAACCCGCAGCCTCAAGCCAAGCTCTCTGAGTAATCATGGGCCGGGGAGTGGGGGCAAGGGATTGTAGCAGATACTGAAAATGACCAAGCAATCTAAAATTCCAAGAACTTCATCTCTCTTGGGAAGAGATACTGCTCTTTCAAAAAAAGAAATAAATGTTCGTTTGTTTTTTTAAAGGAAGAGTACAGCCTTGTGGCACCACAAGTTAAGCTGCCATTCGCAAAACTTACAACTCAGGCATCCCTTATGAAGGTCCCAACTGCTCCATTCCTGATCCAGCTTCCTGTTGACACACCTGGGAGGGCAAGGGTGGGTGTTCTAAGATATTTGGGCCCTTGCTACCAGGTGGGAAACCCAGGTGGAGTGCCTGGCTCCTGGCTTCAGGCTAGCCCATACTCGGCTAGTGTAGGCTTTTGAGGAGTGAACCAGCAGATGAAAAATCTCTCTCTCCCTCCCTCCCTCTCCCTCTCTCTCCCCTTTTCTCTCTCCCTCCCTCTCTTTCCTTCCCTCTCTTTCTCCCTCTCTCTACCACTCCCTCCCTCCCCCTCTCCCTCTCTCTCCTTTTCTCTCCCTCTCTCTCCCTCCTTCTCTCTCTCCTTCTCTCTCCCTCTCTCTTCCTTTTTCTCTCTCCCTCCTCTCTCTCCCTCTCTCCCCTGTCTCTTCCCCTGTCTCATGCCCCTCTGCCTTTCAAGTAAATGAGATGATGCTACTGCACCAAGCACAATTAAAGAGCAGGTGTCTGACATGGTGGTTAAGACCCCACTCAGGGCCCTAACCTGAGTGCCTGGGTGTGAGTCCCAGCTCCTCTCCAGATCCCAGCTTCCTGCCTGCCTAGGAGGCAGCAGCAATGGTGCAGCCACCTGGGCTCCCGCCACCCGCACAGGGAGACCCAGATGGAATTCAGCCTGGCCCAGCCCTGGCTCTGGCAGGCATGGGGAGATCTCTGCCTCTTCCTCTCCCCCTTTCTAAAAACATAAAGGGCTCCCACGCTGTGTCCTCCGTAGCTGAGCTGAGAAGCAAAGACAGGGCCTGCTGGCTCCCCCCAAACCAGCTCAGATACCTGAGCCAGTACCCACTGCCTTCCTGGGCACAGAAGCAGGGAGCTGAATTAAAGGAGAGCAGCTGAGACTTGAGCTCCTAGGGGCTCCTGGCACCACAGCCAGGCGCTTCACCCGAGCATGCACCATCACTGTGTCCTGGTGAGAGCCCCATTTCCTGACCCCTCCAGAGCTCTTGCGTCACCAGGAAGCCCAGCCCCACCCCTAAGCCCACATTCCCTGCAGGTTCTGAATCAGTCCCCTGGTGCCCGGTGCCTGGCTTGCTTCTACCCATCACTGAATGTGTTAGGCTTTGGACCAAGAATGTCCTGAGACACCTGCCACAGCTCTGCGAAGCGCTGAAGGAACCGCCCCCCCGCCCCACCCCGAAGCAGGGGCTCCTGCAGAAGCAGCCCCATAGCCAGGCCCAGAGAGCCCAGAAGAAAATGTGTATCTTTAAACTAAGCTTGTTTCCTGCAGATAAAGACACACACCCAAGAAGCAGAGAATGAAATGTAACATCTGCAAATCTAACAGTGATTTCCCCCTTCTGGGAAAAAGAACCCAAAATAGCTGGCGGGAGAACAGAATGGGCCCGTCCTGAGCCCCACTGGGACTTGTCAGGGAGAACTCATCAGCTCAGTAGGTCAAGTTCAGAGCTGGCCTGCTGTCATTCCTGTACTCAGGCAGCAGAACAAGTTGCTGCCTGCTCTGCCCCGACCGAGTAAGCAAGGATCTTAAAGGAGGGGGAAGAGCAGTCTTACATCTACTCTGGAAATACCGGTGGGTTTGGTTCAGAAGCCTCCAGTCACTGTAGACGTTTGCGCCCAGGGGCCAGTGTTATGGCTGTGCCAAAATTCCCTACGGGCACTGGTTAGTGTCCGAGCTGTTTGCCTGTAACCCAGCTCCCTGCCAACAGCCTAGGAAACACAGCAGAAGATGCTTCAAGTGTTGGGCCCCAGCCACACACACAGAGTACCTGGATGACGCCCCTGGCTCCTGGCTTTGGCCTGCTCCAGCACCGGCTCTTGTGGCCACCTGGGGAGTAAGCCAGTACATAGACCTGCCCCCTCTCTTGGTAACTTTGACTTCCCAAAATAAATAAATCTTCAAAACCCATTGCTGTTGTCTTTGTATGGGCCTGGAACTCGGGCCTCCCTGTGGCCCAGTGTGAGCAATCTCTCACGTGATTAGCATCGAATAGCTAAGACATACTCCTCACAAAGCAGTGCGGTTCATTTTGCCTCATGGTTCCAGAGGTTCACTGTTTGACAAGAAACTGCTTCCCTGAAATCTTTTTTTAAAATTTATTTTACTTATTTAAAAGGCAGACTGATTCATGCCCACCCTCAAATGAACACAATGACCGAGGCTGGGTCGGACAAAAACCAGGAGCCAGAAGCTCCATCTGCGTCTCCCACGTGCCGGCAGGGGCCCAAGCACCTGAGCCATTCTCCCTCGCTTTTCCAGGCACATTGACGGGGAGCTGGATGGAAAGTGGGGAGCCGGGACTTGAACTGGTATTGCAGGAAATGTCTGGCCCTTCCCTCAGCATTTTTTGGAGCTCATAGTTCAGGGATCCTGGGAACATCCCTCCATCCGAGGCCTCATCAAGCTAAGTTCACACAGAAGAGATCCAGGCTCAGGATCAGGCAGCCTCTGACGTGGTCCCTGCTGGGGCCAGCAGATGGCATGGCAGGCCTTGTGCCCAGGGATAAGAGAGGGAGGCCGGGTCTGCATCAAGCTCTGCAGACAAGCCTCTGCCAAGATGCCCCTTCCAGGGATGCACCCCAGCTCACCCTCTTAGCACCGTCCTCATACGATCTTGCGGGTTTTAGCACCCACAAACTGAAAGCCATTTCAAACCACAGCACACAGCTTCTGCTGAACATGTGTGATGAAACCAGGTTCTTCCCTTCAACATCTCCAGCTCCCAAGTCTGCAGGAAATGAGCGTGCGCATCAGGCTTCCTCCAGCCGAGCGCGTTGTCTTCCCCTCAGCGGAAATTCTTCTGGGTTCCTCTGAAACACAGCCAAGGATGGGAAAATGGAAAACATCGCTGCCCTGGAAGCTTGTATCGTGTGTGTGAGACTTCCCCTCTTCTTCCTGAATGAAAAAGAATGCGAGAAGGAACCACAGGATATTACTTAGTATTGCTTAAATAATCGAAGGAATGCAGCAAGAATGCCACCTAAGCCCCGACTACAGACAAGACAGCGTGTGAGTGCAGGCAGCGCGTCCGAGAAGGCAGAGGGAAACCTGAGCCTGACAAGCTTTTTAAAAGCTGACACTGAATTGAGGTTGTTTTTTTTTTTTTTTTCCCAGTCCTTAGGAGGCTAATTCAACATGCACCTGTGACCCGGCCCTAGCCGAGCCTGTGAACTGGGGTTCCAGGCTGCCAGGCTTTCTGTCCGACACGACCTTTGATGTTGGGTTGGGGTTCATGAAGGAGGTACGTGTTATAATTTCAGTTGTGATTCTGCAGAATATGTTGACTCAAACATCACACAAGGCAAAACTAAAGGAAAGCTTAGAAAGAGCTACATCGGGCCCAGCACAGTGGCTAAATCCTCACGTGGCAAGTGCGAGGATGCTGGACTCTCTGCCATTGTCCATGCCCACAGTGATGGACATCTGACTGTGTATGAAGAACTACACCATAGTAATAATATAGGGGAACTCAGTGGGGGAGGGAAGGAACTTGGGGAGGAGTAAGGGGAATTCAAGAGCCTTTGGAACTGTATCATAAAATGATAATAAAAACTACTTTGATTAAAAAAAAAAAAAAGGTTGGGCCTGGCGTGGTGGCATAGCAGCTAAAGTCCTCTCCTTGAGCATGCCTGGTTCCTGTATGAGTGCTAATTCGAATCCTGGCGGCCCCACTTCCCATCTTGCTCCCTGCTTGTAGCCTGGGAAAGAGGTCGAGGATGCCCCAAAGCCTTGGGACCCTACACCCTTTTGCGAGACCCAGAAGAGCTCCTGGCTCCAGGCTTCGGATCAGCTCAGCTCTGGCCATTGTGGTCACTGGGGAGTGAACAATCGGAGGATCTTTCTCTGTCTTTCCTCCTCTCTGTATATCTGACTTTGCAATAAAAATGAATAAAATCTTAAAAAAAAAAAAAAAAGAAAGGTCCATTCACTATGCCATCTCTTCAGGATAGACTTGGGGTGCACAAGTGATGAAGGTGGCACTGTGGTGTGGGTGGGCACCTGGGCACAGGGGCAGGTGAATGGGGCAGCCTGGTGTTCTGTTTATCCTCTGCCAGCCTCCAGGGTTTGTGGCAGAGCCTTGAGGGCAGAGGAGCCACAACCAGGAGCTAATTTCACACAGAACACAGAGAAACCCCAGGGCTGCTGTAACACCAGTGGGGAGGGGCGGGGGAGACGGTCAGGGACAGGATGGCACAAGGGCGAGAGGGTAAGACATGGCATGGCTGGCTTGTTCCAAGTCCCTGAGAGGTGGAAGCAGCCAAGGGAGAAGGGATGACCAGCCAGACCAGGGCATCGGGGCACAGCTCCTAAGCTCCATGACACCCCCCAAAACAGCCATGGGAGAAGTTGGGGAGCAAGACTTCACTCCCTCAGAGTTGTAGCCGAATGAGGGGACCCCATTCCCATACCCAGCACTCCACCCTGGCTCCTTTTGTTTCCCCCCATGCACACCATCTGCAAGTCCACTTGGCAGCACCCACGCTGCCCGGTGCTTTCCCAGCCAGCTTTCCCATTGCTCCTGTGGGCTCCCTTCTCACGCTGCCACTTCCATGAGCATTAGATGCACAACTAGAGCAGGCAAACTTGCTGGATTTTAGTGCCCACTCTGTCCTGGGCTGGGGCTCCTTGTGAGTCCTCAGTGTGCCCAACCTTGCCCACTCTGTCCTGGGCCAGGGCTCCTTGTGAAGTCCTTGGTGTGCCCAACCTTGCCCACTCTGTCCTGGGCTGGGGCTCCTTGTGAGTCATCGGTGTGCCCAACCTTGCCCAGCCGTGCAGATCAACCTTGGGAACCTTCTCTTGCCACATGGCATATGTGGAAGAAAGAGGGTTAAACAAGGGAAAGCTTCTGCTCCAAGACTCCGCTCGATTCCCCATCTTCCCCAGTCCCCTCCTGACCACTAGCCAGCAATCGCTGTCCAGACTTACAAAGGAAACATCCCAGCTAAGAGTTATTGTGAAGGCAAGCCTGCCCAGCGCAGCACACACTAGCTTCCCGGTTAATCTTGCCTGTGCGCCATCATTTCTGGCCACTTGCTTCATAACCCAACAGCCTTCTTCTTCTTCTGATAGAAACCTTTGCTCTGTCCTTTTCCAGCTATCCCTCCGTGCAAGATGCGGCCCTTTCTGAATGCCCAGCTGTGTTCAGGTTCGTCTCTGGGGTTTGCCCTTGCCTTCACTGTGACCTGACACTGGAAAGATCCCACTGCCATTCCTGGCTTACTGACCATAAACCACCTGAGGGCAGAAACAGGATCTTACTCACTTCTGAACAAATCCCCAGCACTGGGTTCAAACATGTGAGTGAAATGGTCTGAGGCAGAACAAGGATGCTGGTAGTGTGGCACATCCCCAGGGTTTCTGTAACTGACTGCCACTCGGTGCATGGCTGAGCACAATGCCAGGTGTTATCTCACAGACACTTAAAATCCAGGTGTCACCAAGGGGTGCCCGGGGGCATGCTCCCCTTGAAGGCACCAGGGAAGGACCCGTCCTTGTCTTGTGCCTGGCTTCTGGCAGCCACACGTAGCCTTGGCTGGCAGCCACATCCCTCCAGTCTTCCAGCTTTGCCTTCCACTCTCCCAGCCGATCTGCACACCAGCTTCCTTCTGTGCCCGCCTCTCTCTGGTTCCTAATTCCACCCCCTTCTAATGAAGCCAGCACTCACACTGGATTGTGACCATCCTAATGGCTTCATTTTGATTGTATTACCTCTCTGAAGACCTTCTGACTACTGAGCCTTAGCAACATCTCTCCTGGACAATGCGTGCACTGAAACATGTGGGTAATTGCACTTGTTCCTTATGGCAATCCCATGAACTGGGTAGTATCATTCCCATTACCCATGATTAGGACACTGAGACTCAACCAGACATCCAAGGCAGATCTATCGACTCCAGTCACTAGTAAGTGGTGAGGCCAAATTTAGCACTCAACGCATCCATGAATTTAACCCTGGGGTGAAGCCCACCATAGACTTGGGAGCCACTCGACCCTGGACAAGCAGCCCCGGGGTGGAGATCACCATGGACTCAGGAGCCACAACGCCACCTAAAACTGTATGACCTCTGTTTCCACACTTACTAAATATGGACCAGGACAAGACCTATGTCTTCTTGACATTTGGCTATAAAATAAAACAGTTAGCACCTAAGGGGTAGCACAGGGATTTAGAAAAAATGAGCAATGTCATGTTGGATGTCGCTCCACGTAGGTCTTCCTAAGCCGAGGTCCTAGGGATAATCCCAGAATTCACTTAGACACAAGGTCTGTATCTCAGGTTTATCTGAGACTGGCAAAGCAGACCCCAGCCTCCGGCCTGTGCAACACCCGTATCTCCTGTCGCTCTCCATCCAGACACAGAGCAGCCAGCCCAACCCCGCCCTCCTGTCGCAGTATCCTGGCATGGCTCTCCTCATCCCCTTCCTTGTCTGTGTCCCTGTTGCAGTTTCACACAAAGCTGGTGGTTGGGCTGCTTTCCTATGACCATGAATCACATAAGACATTTCAGGTCCTTTCAGGCCAAGGATACCTGAAGACCTGAAGCTAGGACAAGAACGGACTGCTCAGCCTTCAATCCCAAGGGAGCAAAGCACTCGCCTTCTACTTTGGAAAGACTCAGTGACTAGCAACGGTCCAGTTCTAAAATTCACTTCCAACCTAGATTCTTTTTCCTTGCAGCTTTTTCTTCTTTCCTTCCATTCTTCTTTCTCTTTTCTTTCCTTTGTTCTCTCCATCTCTCCCTCATGCCTTCTTCTCTATTGTTCCTTCTTTCCTTCCTTTCATCCTTCCTTCTTCCTCCGTCTCTCCCATCCCTTCCTTTCTTCTCCCATTGTTTGTCCTTCACTCTCCTTCCCTCGCTCCTTGCTCCCTTCCTTCCACTCTTTCTGTCCTCACCCTCCTTCCTCTCTATTTCCTGGATTTTCTTCCTGTCTCCCTATCGTATGCATTCTTTCCTTCCTTCATTTTCTTTTTTCCTTCTTCTCTCCTTCCATCTTTCCTTCCTTTATCCTTATCATAACCTGAACTTGAGAACATAGTGCCACTGAAGACGGAGGGATTAAGTCTCAGCCCATTCCTTCTGGACCCTGAGACCTAGGCAAGCTGTTTAATCGCTCCAGGTCTCTGTTTCCTGCTGAATAAAATGAGATGACAGTTCTGCCTCACAGACATTTGTGGAATCTGGCAGGCACTCAGTCAACATCTGCATTTCCTCTCCCATTTTCTTTTTTGAGTCATTAAAACAAGCACATGATTCTTATTTTGTTGACTTATTTGACAGGGAGAGAGAGCGTGTCAGTGTTCCCTCTACTTGTCCACTCCCCAAACTCCTACCAAATGGTTCCCAGATGGATCTGAGACAGCACCCGGGGACCTCCATGAAGGTCTCCAGCACTGACTGGCAGGAATCCAACTACCTAAGCCTTCACCTGCTGCCTCCCAGTGGCAGCATTAACAGGAGTCAGAGCCGGAGCTGGAGCCCCGACTCCAGTGCAGGGGCCAGCATCCCCTGGACCCACTGGCTTCCCAAGCACATGTTCATATGGAACATTCAATCAAGTCAGGAAAATGAAGAACGGCCAGCTTGGGAAGATGAAAAATCTGAAGGAGAGGCATCATTTGTTTACACGGTGACACCAGCTGCTCACTGTCAGAGAACAGCATCAGCAATGGTGCCGCTTAAGTCCTGGATGTGTCGCCAGCGTGTGAAATACTCCACATATTTGAATGAAAACAGAAAGGAGTTGGTTCTGAGTTCATTGTCCTTAACGGGCCAAGAAGAGAACAGGACTCCATGGCTGTTGACCACTGCTTGACGTGCCTCTCCCAACACTTTCACACTGCCTCCAAAGTGTGCATTATTGTGCAAGTCAGCTCTCGCTTCCTTGTTCCTGAAATATTGGCAGCTTTGTTGCTCTCATGGAAACTTGTTCAAAGGTATTCTTCAAATTTCAAACTTTTCTCAGAATGCCTTGTTTGGTTGAAGGATCACAATTCCTTCCACAGAGGATGGGAAAGGGTTCCAGCTCTTCTAGTGGAACAGGAAAACTTGTCTCAGAGAAACCAGAGAGGGTAGATGTTGGTCCTCTTGGGTATTACAATATTGAGGAAGTTCTCTCTCTCTTTCTCTCTCTCTCTCTCTCTCTCTCTCTCACACACACACACACACACACACACACTCAAGCAGGGGATTTGGGATGTCGCTGAAAATCAACACACTGGTTCCAACACCCTAGAATGACACCCACAGCAGGACTGTTTGCTGTAGCTGCAGGGCAAGTGCGACTCAAGTGTCCATCACTGACCAAAACACGGTGTGTGTGCGTGCAGTGCTTCTTCCACTCAGCCTGAAACAGGAAGGAGACTGGGACACGCCACCACCGGGATGTGTCTTGACAGGATGCTCGGCGAAATAAGCCCCTTATTGGACACATACTGTGTGTTTCCTCTTTTACAACGTGCCCGGGATGGTCAAATTCATAGAGATAGGAAGTAGATCGGCGATTGCCAGGGGCCTAGGGAGAGGGAAGAGGGAAGTTGTGACAAAATGGGTACAAATTTGCAAAAAGAGACAATTCTGCAGATGGTAGTGCTATAACAAGGCAAATGCGCTTAATACCACTGGCCCACACGTGATGGAAGCTGGCAAGTGAGATGTTGGGTCATCCCCTTGGGTTGACCATCACCCTGCTCAGAGTGCCTGGGCTCAAAACTCGGCTCTGCTTACCCCATTCCCATTGCCTGCTGATACGTGTGCCCAAAGACAGCAGGCACTGCTTCAGGTGCTTACATGATCCCAGGTGGGATATCTGGACCAAGGGCCCAGTGTTCAGCTTAGGTCTAGTCCAGTCCCAGCCACTGTGGGCATTGGGGAGTGGAGCAGCAGGAGGGGATTTCTACCTCTCTGCACCTGTCCGAATATCTCTACCTCTCAAATAGACAAATTATGTAAAAGTTAAGATGACCATATTTTATATTCTATTTATTTTACCACAATGAAAGTGTCTGAGTTTCTCTGCTTCATCCATTAAGAGGCGAAACAGAAACAGTAAAAGAGAAGCTTTTGCCCTCTTTGCGTGAATTCTGGGTCTGCTTTGACCAGCCGTCCTATTCCTAAAGTCCACCTTGGGCCCTGGGCAGAGGTGCAGTTTGGTCCTTAACCAGCCTGCTTTGCCCTTGGGATCCCAGTACGGTGTGGGTTGATGTTTTCTCCATCACACTCTCCCACCCTTGGTCTCCTCTTTTGGTTCCCCAACAACTTCTGGACAGTCCAGTCCTCCCAGCAGCACCCGTTGCTATCACTCTTCCTTCCACTTCCTGGGTACTGGGAGCTGATTACCTGCCACGAGCTCCTGGTAAGGCACTCACAGAGCCCTGATTCTTAAAATCCAGGCTGTAATTCTAGATCGCATACCTGCCATTCTCTGAATTAAGAGTGCATCTCCGGGTGGCTGAATCTCCCTTAGACACTCCCAGTGTCTTGGCCCCTTTCCAGATTGAAAACAAGAATACACATCTCCCTGCTCTCTCCAGAGCAGCTCACCGGACTGGCCCACACGCCAACAGCAGACACACAGATGCCTGGAAGCAACTGTACTGGAGCTCGACAGAGTCAGGCTCGGCCCGAGTCCCCAAGAGCGCTTGGCTGTCTTGGAAAGTGCAGCACGTGGGGCCCCTCCACTGAGACAGACAGGGCGCCAAGGAGGGAAAAGACCACCTTACCCGCTGGCTCTATTACTATAGCTGAATACCTGGGGCAGGCTACCTTTGCAAGATAATGGGTCATATTAGCACTCTCTGCTGTAGGTATAAGGGCTAAACAGCACACACACACCTAGGGTGAGTGCACCCCAGGCTGCACCTTGCTATGAAGGTGCCTCTAGCTGTCTCCTTGGAAACCCAACACGGTCCGCCCTAATGACCTCATCAAGCAGGGTCGCTTCAGAAGGCTCTCTCCTGCAGTCATCACAGCCTCTCAATGCCATGAACATAATGGAGTGTGCAGTGTGGTGGCACAGCACATGAAACTGCTCCTTGCAACAGCAATCCCGGATCTGAACGCTGCTTTGAGTCCAGACTACTCTGTTCCCAGCCCAGTTCTCCACTAATGCAGCTGCAAAAGCAGTTGGTGACGGCCCAAGTGCGTGAATCCCTGCCAGATGGAAGACCTGGATGGGGTCTGGGTTCCTGGCTTCAGTCTGCCCCAAGCCACTGCCACTACTTGGGGAATGAAACAGGAGGTTGGTCTCTCTCTCTCTCTCTCTCTCTCTCTCTCCTCCCCCATTCCTCCCTCTCTTTCTCCCTGCCTGCCTCCCTCTGTCTCTCCCTTCACTCTGTATTTCAAATAAACATTTTATATATATATATTTTAAAACACAAACTTTGGCAAGTGAATCCCTAGCAGAAACGTAATCATATTCTGAGATGGAGATTTGCAACCCAAGCAGACAGGTTGTGAGTCTGAGAATGGAGATGGAACCTGTGGCAGGCTCTGCACAACACCTGGGCAGAGGAGAAGCCCCATCAGGATGCACTGACATTGTTACCAAACTACTGGGGATCTATTCAGATCATCAACAAAACCCGATGTTGATGGCTTTCTGTTGCTGTAGCAGAATCCCATGTATGGCTGTTTTAAATAAAGGGTTCACTTAGCTCATCTTTTTGCAGGTCCACGGGCCTAACGGCAGCTTTTGCCTGCTTCTGGGATGGCTCTGTGAAGCTGAGCGCAGAGCCGGAGTGAGCACATGGTTAACAGCATCGCAGGGCGTGACAGGAAGCCGGAGAGCAGGGAGAAGCTCGGTCTTGCTTTTCTGGGTCAGCCCCGTCTCCAGGACTAACCAGGCTCCTAAGAGAATGACACTAGCCCTTCCCTAGTTAGTGCCCCCCATTCCCTAGTGGCATTTCCCCAAGCTCTCCCCTTGGAAATTCCACACCTCGCAGCATGGGCCCACCGGGGACAAAGCCCCCAACACGTAAGCCCTCGGGAAATCGTCGCCTTGCGTGCCAACCACTGCTGTGTTTAGCACCTAGCTCAGAAGCTACAGCCCTCTAGCCAGCATTTTCTTAGAACCAGCTGCCTTTTTCATGACTTGAAGAGAAAGAATCAGAGGGATCAGGGCTTGGGGCTCATGCCCACGTGAGGCTTTCCCTCTGCTTGGCCAGCAGCACTAAACCCTGCTGACACCAAGGCTGCCAGGCAGCCTTCCACCTGACTCTTGGAGGAGGGCCGTGGGTGGGATGGGATCAAATCCTAATGTCATGACAGCAGGCAGAGGGTCAGCGTTGGAGCTACAGCGTAGCCATGGACACAATGCCAAGCTTTGAGTGCTCTGGGCCCCCTTGTGTCCCAGTCTCCTGGGCTCAGCTGTGTGCAGGCTCTGTTTGATGCTGTCATCCTGTCACGGTGAGCATTCCCAGGCATTGGGGACACTTCGAGCTCTCACAGCAGCTAAATGAACTCAGTATTCTCATCTTAACAACTGGCCTCTCGTGGATGTGATTTAGGGTGAGCTGATTCAGTTGATTGCAGGGAGAAATGATTGAAATTGAATTTCTAAATTTACCAGCTCAAGAGCAAGAAGTCCCATCTGATGAGGCCGCGCCCAAACTCTCGTCAGTTCCTCAGGAAGCGCAAATGCCACCTCTTGTGCATCCGCAAGATAAAAATGAGGTCAAACTTCAGTTTGCAGAGAAATGATTGAGTGTTAGAAAAAAGCTTCATGAATTATACATTATAGTAAACACAAGTTAGACTCTTCATTTATTTTGTAAGTGTCACTGTATTTCAAAGTAACACCACAAGTAAGGCAGGAAAGTGTGGATTCCTTCATCTGGGTCTGTAACTGGTCCAGTCTTCCTCCCGAACACCCATCCATCAGGTGGCCGAGGAAAGGCAACACACCCACAGAGTGGCTTCCGCCCTGGTCAGGCGAAGATGCTCACACAGCCCCTGTGGTGTTCTTCTCTGCGGGCATGCCACACCTGTGGCCTCTCTTCCTGCGTGAGGGAGGAGTCCTCCTGTGACCTCACGGTGCTACAATGAGGGTATGTGGGAACCCGGTACTGGGTCATTTCTATTGGTCTTCATGTTAAATACACTTAGTCATTTTATTCTTAATTTATCGCTCACATCTAAAATTCCCGTTTGGAGATGGGCATTCAGAACAGCAGGCTAGACACCAATCCAGATGCCCTCATCCTGTCTCCCAGGTCCTAGGTTCAAGTCCCAGCTCAGCCTCTGATGCTCCTGCATGCCCTGGGGGACAGAGGGTGCTGCCTCCAGTACTTGGGTCTGAGTCCTCAAGCCCTGGCTCTGGTCTGGCCCAGCCCCAGCTGCTACCAGCATTTGGAGAGTGAGCCGCTGAGGGCAGATCTCTCACTCTCTCCCTCTTTCAGATAAGCAAGATCCACACCCGGTTACCGTTTCTGATTCGTGTCCTTTGCTTGCTTGTTCAGACTTTCCATCTTTCCACTCACTTCAGCAGGATTTCTCATCACCTCTAGGCGTGTTTTTACAATCGCTGCCTTGAAGTCTTTGTCGGATCCTCTCCTTTTTTTCTTTGGAAGTGGTAGACACGTGTCTCAATTCTTTTTTTCTTCCGAGTCTGCAGGAAGGGAAGGGGAGGGAGCCATTCCTTGCTGCCAGCAGGCTCCCCAGGCATGGGGACGCCTTAGAGACCTGAGTGTAAGAGTGTTCTGAAGATGCTACTGGAGGGGTTTTGGTAGTTCCAAGTCATCAGCCTTTCCAAGGTCTATGGGCCGACCAGTCCACCTCAGTGCATCCACAGGCCCAAGAGCATGTTGTAAAGCTCGGCCAAGAGAGTGGTCCAACCTGCTCTTCTCTGCCTTCCAACAAGGCAATCGATGTCTTCCCCTGGCCCAGATGCACGGCTGTCATATCCCGCTGTGCACGCTGATCACTGCACAGGCTTCAGTAACCGAGAAGGCCCAGTGCCAACACACATAGTCCAAGCGTCGACCACATATCTTGTGATTTTCCCTGTGCCCGGGGTTTGTATCCAGCCGTTTAGTTGGGCAGTCTCCCAAGAAACCTCACTGGGTTGACCTCAAACTTAGCTGTCATGTGCACAGGCTAGTACAGGGTCAGATTGGGTCTGTCACCTACACCAGCCAGCACATAAACCAGTGGATGCAGCTGCCTGGTCAGTTCCTCCTCCAGCCCCTGCAAATTGGGTGCTGCAGCCTAGTTCAGCCCAGCCCGCCACAGGCCCAATCTTGACACACACCAGCACGTACTATGACCCAGTTGGGGTGACCCTCAGAAACCCCAACCAGGCCCACCCTCCAGCTCCAGTTTTTGTGTGTGCTGGCATGGCTCTGCCCTAGCCTGATCCATCCCTCATCCCATCTGGTTCCAGTGCACATCTCCGGGTGCTGCAGTATAGGTCAGCCAGACCTAGACCCAGACTCAGCCCACACGCATGCTGACAGGGGCTGCCACCTTTGTCCAGCCCTATTTGCCACCAGCTCTGGCTCTCATGCTCACCAGCAGGAGCTACAGCCTGATAGAATAGTATTTGCTCTTCCCCTACCAGGCCCACTTGTGCTTGCCAGGGAGAACTGCAGTCCAACCTGACACAACTTGCACCCAGTCCCAGCACTTACCAGTGGGTGCTGTAACTTAGCCTAGCTGGCCCACATCCGTTCTTGCTTTCTTCTGAAACAATATATGCAATAGCCTAACTCAGCCTGGCCTACCCAAAGACCAGCCTGCCCCCAATGCCAGCTCTTCTGTGACTCAATCTGGCCTATCCGAAGACCAGCCTGCCCCCAGTGCCCACTCTTCTGTGACTCAACAAGCGCCATAATCTAAACTGGCCTGTCCCAACCCCATTCTGGTTTTTGCAGGCACCAGCGGGTGCTGGAGCCTATCCCAGTTTGGCCTGCCCCCATACCCAGCCCACAAACATGCCTATGAGTGCTGCAGCCTTGCCCAGCCTGGTCCACTCGTAGCTTCGGCTCTTACACTTACCAGTGGGAGCTGCAGCCCACTGGGGGAGTCCCTAGATTTCCCTCACCGGGCCTATTTCTAGCCCCCGCTCTTGCACGTGCTGGTGGGTGCTTCCACTCTGCCTGGCGTGGCCCACCCACAATCTCAGCTCTTGCTGGTAGGTGCTTCAGCCTAGCCCAGCTGGGCACGGCACACTCTCTCTCTCCTGCCCTTGTGTGTGCTAGCAGGTGCTGAGCCTGGCCTAGCCCCACCTGTCCCCAGACCCAGCCAACACAAATGCTGATGACTGCCGCAGCCTTGCCTGGCCTGGCAGGCTCCCAGCCCCAGCTATTGTGCTCTGCAGCAGGAGTTCGCCAAGTTCCTCTACCAGGCCCAGGATCTCACATGTGCCTGCAGAGGCCACAGTCCTGCTTGGCATAGTCTGCCCTCAGTCCTGACCCCTGCATGTGCCAGCAGATGCTGCGGTCCAGCCAGCCCAGGCTCTCCCCAGCCCCAGTTCCTGGGAGTGTCAGGTGGGCACCTGTCAGAGATCTAACCTGGCTCAGCTCTCCATGCCAACTAGAAAGTGCTGCAGTCCTACAGAATTTGTCCCCAGATCCAGTTCTCTTCCAGCCTGATGTGGCCCACCCACTGCTCTAACATCACGGATGAGTACTGTGGCCTAGACGGCCAGGCATGCATCTCAGCCCCAGGCTTTACAAGTACCAGCAGGCGGCAGGAAGTGCTGTTTGGACCAGCCCGGTGTCCCCCTTGGACAGGTGTTTGGCTTGACTTGACCCAGACATACCCTCCTGACCCCCCTCTAAACCACTCCATCTCAGCTCCTTTGCTTAGCTGCCAGTGCAGTGATTCGGTCTGTGGGAGCACCCAGAAGTCATTCCTCCTGGACCACACACGCCCTTAGCCACAGTCACTCCTCCTTGTCCCCAGGCACTCTGCAACCCCTCAGCTGGGGGCCAGAGGGTGTGTCCTGGCACCATGTTCCCCAGATAACTTAAAAAAAAAAGATGGAATAGAATAGGCAACTATGCCGGCCCACGGCTATAAACAGATCTGTCACTAACCAGGCCCAGGATGCCCACCAGCTGTGGCTGCTTTTCTCCCAGCAGTGGAACACTGGCCTGGGTGCTAGGCAGCTGCCCACAGCTGGGACAGGTCATTTCAGCTTTGGGGACATCTGGTTTTTGTTTTGGTTGCATTTTTTTTTACTATTTTTTTTTTTTTTTTGCTATGTAAAGTAATCTTACGATGTAAGATTTTCCCAGTTACTTATATACTGATTTCAAGTGGTTTCTGGGACATTATATTTTAGACTCTACTTCTAATTTAAACCCTAGAAAATGTTGATATTTTCTACTTCAAAAAAATACTGATTTACTCATTTGAAAGACAGAGTGGCGTGACATAGGAGGGAGAGAGAGAGAGGGGAGACGCCGCTCCGTCTGCTGGCTCACTCCCCACTTGACTGCGACAGTCAGCAGTGGGCCAGGGGCCTGGCGCTCCAGCAGGTTTCCCACGGAAGCAGCTGCGGTCCAGGCATATGAGGGTCATCTTCCGGTGCCTTCTCGGACACATTAGCAGGCAGTTGGCTTGGAAGCTGAGAAACCAGGATCAGAATTTATGTTCTGATACAATGTTCTTTTTTTTAAAGATTTATTTTTATTATTTTTTCATTGGAAAGGCAGATATACAGAGAGGAGAGACAGAGAGGAAGATCTTCCGTCCGATGATTCACTCCCCAAGTGAGCGCAACGGGCCGATACTATGCCGATCCGAAGCCAGGAGCCTCTTCCGGGTCTCCCACGTGGGTGCAGGGTCCCAAAGCTTTGGGCCGTCCTCTGCTGCTTTCCCAGGCCACAGGCAGGGAGCTGGAAGGGAAGCGGGGCTGCCGGGATTAGAACCGGCGCCCATATGGGATCCCGGGCGTGCAAGGCGAGGACCTTTAACCACTTGCGCCACCGCGACAATGTTCTAACGTGCTGTACCACCTCGCCCGCCCCTACCAACATGATTTCCGTGTCAGTACTTTCTCAAAGCTTCTGCCCTTGCTGTTGCAATTGCGTCCCATGTGTGCGCCACCAGCGGCAAGCCTGGGTTTAGGGTTTGTTTTGTGGTTTTCTCTGTTTATGGTCAGACTCACACACCTGCAGCTCGGGGTGAGCCCAGGCACTCAGGAACATCTGGGGCTGATTGTCTGAGCTCCCCCCCCACCGTTGCACGCGTGTTCCCGGCTTCCCGGACTGCCTTTCCCAGGCCCCAGCCACGAAGCCAGGACCTTCATCAACCTCACGGTGCCACACGCTCGCTGCATCTGAACCCCATCTGCAAGCAAACAAGACTTTTTTGTTGTTGTTTTTGAAGTGACAAGGTTCAGGCTGGACCCTTAGAATGTTTTTTTTAATTATTTATTTGTTTGTTTGCTTCTTTATGTTGGAAAGGCAGATATACAGAGAGGAGAGAAGAAGATCTTGTGTCCGATGGTTCACTCCCCAAGTGGCCATACCAGTTGGAGCTGAGTTGATCTGAAGCCAGGAGCTTCCTCCAGGTCTCCCACGTAGGTACAGGGTCCCAAGGCTTTGGACCATCCTCAACTGCTTACCTAGGACACAAACAGGGAGTTGGATGGGACATGAATCAGTGCCCATATGGGATCCCAGCACATGCAAGGCAAGGAATTC